GGCTGTGCTATGATGTGAGGCCCCCATTCTATGAGGCAATAGGGCTAAATGTCACCTACGATATCTCACTAGTGAAAACCCCACCCAATGTTCCTGGGGAGACCGTAAGAGAGGTCTGACCATACAACAAGTGAGCAGCCAAGGAACCTGCTTAGGGAAGGTGCCAGTGGGAAAACAGGACCTATGTGCTGTTGTAAAAACAACCCCACCTGGGGCGATGGTATTAAGTGGGTAATTCCAAAAGGCAATGGATGGTGGATATGCTCACCGTCCAGGCTCACCCCTTGCCTATCAACTAATGTGTTTAACAGCTCTAAAGAATTCTGTGTCCTAGTGGCTGTGCTGCCCCGCATCCTCTGTCATTCTGAGGAGAGCCTATATTCATACTGGAATACAGGAACAGGTGAGAGAAAGAAGAGAGAGCCTATTTCTGCATTAACCATTGCTACCCTACTTAGCCTAGGGGTGGCTGGGGCAGGAACCGGCATAGCCTCCCTGGCTACTCAACATAAAGGGATGTCCTCGCTGCGCGGCCATAGACGAGGATATAGAGAGGATAGAAGCCTCCATTAGTCACCTAGAAAATCCCTTACCTCTCTATCTGAGGTAGTGCTTCAAACCGACGGGGCCTAGACTTATTGTTCCTCCAACAGGGGGGAATATGTGCTCTAGGGGAGGAATGTTGTTTTTATGCTGATCATTCAGGGGTAGTTAGGGATTCTATGGCTAAAGTGAGGGAAGGACTGGCAAAAAGAAAACGAGAAAGGGAAGCCCAAGAAAATTGGTTCGAAGCTTGGTTCAATAGGTCCCCCTGGTTCACTACCTTGGTCTCTACCCTGGTGGGCCCTCTGGTCATACTACTGCTTATCTTAACCTTTGGTCCTTGTATTCTGAATAAGCTAGTGACCTTCGTGAAAGATCGAGTTAGTACAGTCCAACTAATGGTCCTGAGGCAGCAATACGAACAGTTACCTAGCCCTGAGGATGTTTACGCTCTTGCGCCCAGATGAGCATGATTCCTCATTATGAACAACTAAAGGGGGGAATGTTAGGGTACAAAGTTAGGGTACCTTTGAGGCTTGCAGCCCACTCAGCCTGAAACCCGCCATGGCTAACATGACCCAAGCCACCACTTACTGGAACAAAGGAGGTGGGACGGTTTCTGGGAACAGGACTGTTTCTGGTTAATCTTGCTAAAACGGTATGTGAGTCAATGAGTTGAGACACCTGGTGTTTACCAAATTCCTGATAAATAATCTTCAAGTAATCTGCCCCACCACCAGGATGTGGGGATATCAGAAATATGTGACCCCAGGGACCATAAAAATTGCTGTGTAACCGTGACTAATGTCTAAAAAAATATAAAAGCAGCCTGAGTTTTGTATTCGGGGTCCGTGTTGAAACCCACTGCGTGGGCGGATACCCGGACCCCAGCTGGCTGGAAATAAACCTCGCTTTGTATACATTATTGTGAGTGTTTTTGTTCTCTGAGGGTGGAAAACCTGGACGCCCAACAATTGTTAAACATATATCAGCAAAAAAAAACTACTCTTGAGGCGTTCTGAAGGAGAGGGTCTTGGTAAAGACAGATATAGAAGGTCTGAATAGTGTCCGCTTTTTTCATATTTCCACCTGGAACTTCAGTAATTAATCTTATTTGGAAAGAGAGTCTTTGCAGATTAAATTAATAAGATGAGTGAGACTTTTTAAATCAAAAACAGACTAAGAAGGGCATTCAAACCGAATGACTTGTCGCTCTATGAGCAGAGGACACACACAAAATGCACGACAGAGGAAGGTTCACATGATAGTGGCATTCGAGATGGGACAGTGATACAGCTTTCAAGCCAAGGAAACCCTAAGGACTGCCCAAGCCACCCTAGAAGCTGGAGAGGCCAGGAGTGTTCCCCTATAGCCTTTGGATGGAACATGGACCTGTTGATTCTTTGATTTTGGATGTTCCAGAAATGGTCAGAACTAGAAGAAAATTAATTTTCTGTTGTTTAAGCACTCAATTTTGTGGCAAATTGTTTTGTGATAGCCTTAAGGAAAGTAATAAAATAATCTTCTGTAAGAGTATCTTGAACTTTGTGGTGTTCTTTGTCGTTTGATGTGCACTCAACTGCCATTTTTGGTTATGCTTTTGGTGGGGGTCACTGATCTAGGCCTGGAGAACACCTGTATCTCCAGGTGTAATTTCAGTGTCCCTTAGCTGACAACCACTGGGGCTAGGGATGGCTTCACATTGGGCCCTGGTCAGTTTGCACATGACCAGGGCTTGGTTTTCATAATCTGCTGTTGCTGTCTTGAGAGTCTTCAATAATTTTTGGGGCAAGAGACCTCTCATTGTATTTTTTCACTTGGGCTCCCGTTAATTTATCCTCACTAGAATAATTATACAATTACTGATGGCATAAAAGCAGTAGAAAGGAAAAACGCAACAATCCAAAAGGCTGTTTCACTCAGGCAAGTAAGAAAGGACGGAATTCTTGAAGAGGAGTTTTTGGTAGACAAGGTTAATTTGCCAGATGACTATTTTGGGCCTAGGGAAGGAGGTCATTATAAGCTGGGGTTGGGGTCCTGTGAGAGGAGTACAGGTGAATTGCCAAAAGTGCTTTACAACCTAATTATACCCACTAGAGGATTCAGGGAGAGTTGACAGACAACGGGTCGAAATTGGAAAGACTTCAGGGCAATGTAAAGAGGTCCTTAGTCTGGAATGTAATGGGGAACCATAAAAGGACTGACCAATAGGTAACCAGTTTTAGATCCCCACAACTCTGTTTCCCTTGGGGTTTCTGGGTTTAGCCACCATGTATATCAAAGATCCAGGCCCCACTAGACCTGCAATACCAAGGCAGGATTACAGCAATCAAGAATAAACCAAATCTTCCCTTCTAGTGTCCACTGCTTTTCTTTCTTTTAAAAAATGGGATTTAAAATACATGTTTAAGGTGTGTGGTAAGCTGAGTAATGGTTTGCCCAAAAGGATTGTCCCATGTCTTAATCCCAAATCTGGGTATATGTTGCCTTACTCAGTAAAAAAGTGGACTTTGCTGATGTGAATTAAGGAAAGTTTTTTTGAGAGAGGTTGATTATCCTGATTATCTGGTGGGCCCAATATAATCAACAGGGCTTTTTCAAGAGGAGGGCCGGAGAATCAAAGTGAGAAATAGGAGAGGTGACTGCAGAAGCAAGAGGGTGGGATGATGTGAGGAAGAGCCATCCAGCCCAAAGAATGCAGGTGCTTCTAAGAAGCTGGGAAGGCAAGCCGAAGGAGCCTCCTTT